GCCAAAACGTGGTCAGCATTTGACCGTGGCACTCGCTGCTTCGAAGCCTTCATTGCTGCTATTCTGCTGCGAAGTAGCGCAATTTCCTCGTCTTTAGGGTCAGATCCGTCTGACGACTGGGAACAAATATGAGATTTGGTTTTAATCGGTGAGAATACGTCACCGGAGCTACTGGTCTCCTGCTGCGGATAACGTTCGAACCCAGCGTCTGCCTTTGTAGCTAATTCTTTCAGTGATGTATCTATAAACATGGTCAGCAATACCGGCAATGGCTCTGGGAGACGTGCAAACCACAGCTCCTTTATCCGTTCTTCGCTCAAGAATAAGGGACTTGCAATGCGCTGAAGTTCGCGGAGCAACGCCGACGGCCTGCGCTCTTCAAGGTTGAGACCACTGAGCTGTTTAAATCGAGCTCGTGCGCTGAGCTGTAACTCTTTTAAAGTCGCTTGCTTCATTGTTTCATAATTTGCCTCATTCGATGGGCAGAGTACAATGTTCTCAACCAGCATCACAATCGACGAAGGAAGGAGTGGGACGAGCTGATTGTACCTCGGACGGTCCGTCATAATGCCCTTATTTTCCAGTTCGATCTCGAATATCTTAAACCAAACCTCTGGGCTGTGTTCCATGAAACTTGGAACAGCCATAGTAAGCATGCGTACGCTGTGAAGTGACTCAGATGCCACTATCGAAATGTGCGTCGAAAAGGTAAGGGATGAAAAAACACGATAAAAAGTACTAAAGTTACGCAAGAAACAAATGAATACAGATATATAATCGAGCAAAAGGAACGAAGTCACCATAAAATACAAACGAGAAAAAAACGTCAAATTCGCGCGTGCGAATCGGGGTCATCATTTTGTAGGACTAGGTAATACTAGTCCGAGACGGTGCGCGAAATTAAGCGCGGATAGCAGAAGGCGGACACAGCGGATTGTATTTGGTGGGATACGATAAGAAGCGGACGGATGAAGCGAGGCGAGAGCGAGCACGTGGGCACGGGAACTTGCAAGGTGATCGAGTAACGAGCCGGTTGTAAGGAAGATGAAAACAAGAAGGAATAATGTGCAATCGGTCAACATGTAACTTGTAGATGAGAGATAGCAGTTTTCTTTTGGGCGCTGCATCTTTTGCATGCGGACTAATTGCATCGATATTTTGATATAATGTAGAACAGGTAGGGGAAATAAATGGGATTACTTCCGATTACTTATAATAACGACCTTAACAGTGACAACATAATTTTCTGCATTTCACTTTAAGCACTACAATCTTTAGGTTAGGATTAGGGCATGAACCTATGCCTAGCGAAAAAAGCATTAATTACTTATTCTCCGCCCATCGCAGCTCCTGATTTCGAGTATAAATGATTGACATGGCCTGACGTAGATGCGAAGAGGGACTGCGTGTGAGGTTGGCATCATCGGACGGAAGGTCAATTGGCCATAAGCAAGGGACCGAAAATAAGATAGCCATAAATTTTACTAAGACACCACACAAGTGGCCTCTAATCTGTACCGTCGACTGTCACAAGGTCTTGTTCTCTCTCTCTCTATATATATATATATATATATATATATATATATATATATATATAAGCAGCAGTTCAAGAAATGCACATTGAGCCACAGCAAAAACATTGGAATCAGAGGACAGTTCCAGTTGGTCAAAAATATAACGAACGTACTTTGTTTGTTTTACATATCCATTTTTACAAGTGCCAATACAGCAAATTAATGAGCTAGAGATCAGTGTCACTCACATAAACTAAAATTGCTGTCACACTTCTGTTTCGTTTAAGATAATTTCTTACAAACGCGCTCTGATAATTGTCTTCTTTGTCCATCCGTTTGAAGTGAGAGAATATCCAGATGTACACGGAAGAACAAAAGGTTCTCGGTGGCTCGCGCCAGGCCGGTACGTAATAACGGGTGCGAATGAAATGAGTAAAAACATCAGACAAGACTAGATTTGAAAGGGTAAAGTTAATAGGTATAGGTCATCTAAATGACAAGGTCAAGTGCTTGGTTCAGAAGCAGTCAGTGACATGACAGTTGTAGGTTCCTCAGCAGGGGTTACTGTAATATGAGACCAGGGAAGAGAGAGAATCTGAACGAATCGTTTTTATGCACATTGGTCTGGGTTCTGGAGGCGGATCGCGATCGCTCCGGCTGTTGCTAACAAGCGACATCTTACCGCTCGTGTGTAGCATCCAAGTACGCTGTAAATGAGCTGAAAATAATGGTGCGTTTTGATCTGGTGGTTAAAATCAACTACGTGTATTTTTGTGTGTTATTGAGACCAGTGATCTTCAGCAGTATTCAGTGTGCGCTTGCTCATCTTGAATGTCGTCGTGCTTTGATATGCATACTGAACATCTAGCTCCGTCCCTTGACTTGTGAATATGCGCTCCCAGCGTCATCGTGGGTATCATCCGAAACACAACAGCGATCAGCACATATAATGTCATGGTCAGAGTTTACACATGTGCTCATAATCAAAAAACAACTTTGGATGCAGCCCCTCTAGCGGTACCTGGCCACAATGTAATTTATATGCATCTAAGCAAGTAAGTGCCATGTCACCCTACGGCGAGTGTTGTGTCTGAAATTGGGGTTCGCGAAAAATAATCAAGCCCCTTCACACCCATGAAGTACTCGCCAACCGTTATCATTGTGAGGGCCTACAACCTGTTTGCCTCCCACATGCGGCTCATCAATAGACATTGGTCTAAATTGAGCGGTCAAATCCTCAGTCAACAGTGCGGTGCCGGTGCATCATTTGTGGAGCCGAAAGTCATCTTTTACTGAGTCATTGCCACAGTTTGTGAGGGCTTAGGCAGCGATGACAAAAAGACATTTGTTAACCAGTTCAATTTCGTATCTCTGAACGAGCTAGCCAGTCGGACTGCGCATACCCGGCAACTGCTTAGTATACAAGCAACCAAAGCAACTTCAACCAGATGACTCAGGTCAATTCAAACACCGGCTTGGTCAGCACTTGTATCTACGTCATCTCCGGATAGGCGAAGTAAAAACCCAATGCTGGTGTCGTCTAAAGTGGATCGTAAACACAGAACTCGTCATTCCAGTGGATTTCAAATAATTGGCGGATATTTGTTGGTGGCGTCTATAATGTTTGCAATCTGAGTGTACATGAAATCCTGCAGGTGCCCGTAAGGCTGCGATCGTAAACTGAAACGAGGAGGGGTAAATAATTATAGAGAGATCCAAAGGAGAGCCAAGTGGCTAGACAAGCTTTTAGAACCAGTGAGAAAATTTGCATTTATTTAGAGTCTCCGTGATACATTCAGTTTCTTAGACTCCATCACGTAACCGGAAGAAATCTGTCTTTTTTGGGCGTCGTGTCGCACTTCGCGAATTTTCCTTTCGAGGAGACGTAAGACTATGCATGCGACACCACTTTATCACATCATTTGAAGGTCGGGCTTTCGAACAATCGGTTAAAACAGCTACTTATGCTGTGTACTAGCGACATGCAGTTTCAGTTTATTGGGGTAATATACAGACAAAAGGAGGCAGTAGGGCTGGGCTCACCAACAAATTCGAAATCAACTACCTGAGCGGAGTCATTAGCGTATTACTCTATTTCGGTCGATATGTGGATGACATTTTGAGAGATAGTCAATTCTGCACAGAGCAAATTAGCTCCCATTTTAACTCAGCGCACGACAACGCTAAGTTTACCCTGGAAATTGAATGTCATGGTATGATGTCTTTCCTAAAATTCCAAATTAGCCGAAGATCAGATGGGTCGATCCAACGCAGGGTGCACAGGAAAGCCAAGTAGAATGGACAATACATACACTTTGCCAGCTTTGTCCCACGAAGTCAGTAGCGGTACTTGCTCAGACGTTTAACCGAAAGAGTACGAATCATAGGTAGCGAGGACGCGCTTACTGACGAGCTGAATTTCTTAGCTGGCCTTTTTGAGAGTAATGACTATCCTGAAAAGTTTGTTCGGAGAAATATGGAGTGCCGAGAATCGGGGGCTAAAACCGATTCCGTTGAAAAGAAACTGGTTTATCTGTCTTTGCCGTTCAAAGGGATGCAATAGCGCAGGCAACGTCTAGAAGGCTATTCGACGCCATTAATCGTACCTAATACGCAGCAAGCTTATGGCCAAGATTTACTTCAACGCCAATAGTAAGGCTTTAACTCAAGGACAGACAATCTCAGTCCGGTCCATCTTTCTGTGGATACTCCCTTACTTATTCATGTCGAGCAAGTTATATCCGAAGAACAATCAGGAGACTGTCTGAGAGAATCCCTGAGCATTGTCCTACTTGGCTGTGTGTAGGTGGAAAAAAACAGTGACGAGCGCCGTGTTGGCACATCTAGTTGATTTTAATCACCAGATCGAAACGCACCATTATTTTCATCTCATTTACAGCGTACTTGGATGCTACACACGAGCGGTAAGATGTCGCTTGTTAGCAACAGCCGGAGCGATCACGATCCGCCTTCAGAACCCAGACCTATGTGTATAAAAGCGAATCGTTCAGATTCTCTCTCCTCTCTGGTCTCATATTACAGTAACCCTTGCTGAGGAACCTAAAACTGTCATGTCACTGACTGCTTCTGAACCAAGCACTTGATCTTGTCATTTAGATGACCTATACCTACTAACCTTACCCTTTCAAATCTAATCTTGTCTGATGTTTTAGCTCTTTTATTCGCACAGTTATTGTGTACCAGCCTGACGCGTGTCACCGAATACGTGCTTTCGCTGGCTTTGTTCTGCTATCCGTTGCTAGTTCACCTACCTTTCGACAGCTGTAACAACCATAATCAGCTAGTTAGTTTTTAGCAAGTAAATCCTTTCGCTTAGCTTTTTCTCTTTCTATGTGGCTACCTACTTGGTCTCTTTTTATTGCCATCCCGAGGTCTGGTATTGGACACGAAAGCTAACTCAATCCTCAACCAGGCACATACTGCAGACGCCGCAATAAAAGTATTGTCATTATCGCAACATGAAAAATGCCGGAACTTAAGCACTTTTCCACGCTTCCAGAGAGAGCATATGATTATCTGTATGGTAAGTGTATCAGAAAATTTGGAAACCTTTGAGACCCATTATATTTGCTTTCAAGTGCTAAGGATCACCAGCGTGCTGGCCTAAAAGCACAGAACCTACATGGCAGATTGGAAAAGTTATATTCTTTTCAAAATCTGTTCAGTGAAAGCTCCGCTCACCAGCAGTACGAATGGAGATTAAATGCTACCGATCCGGTGCCACCGTCCGTGCCACGTGATTTTCGCCCAGTCGACGTTTGCAAGGAACTGCTGCAAATGTGAGTCCAACTAATGTGCTAATTGTACACTAGACAGTTAAAAGATGCTGGTGGATACAATTTTGATGAAGATGTTGTCGGCAGACACAGAGCGAAGTATTTCACGCACCACGCTTTCTTGGCCAAAACATTCGTGAGTGTACTTCAATCTATCCCAAAAAAATTATGTTTCACGGTTTCTGAATCCGTTATTAGTGTAAGCGAGTTATTTGCTAGACGTACTGTCCACTGAGCTTGGCAATTTGACCTCAAACGTTTCTTCACTAGTCGTGGTGACATCATCAATACGGACTGACGTGTAGGTAGATGTGAACCGGGTGGTCACGCTCTTTTTGGATTATTGCTGTTGGTCGCTTGAACAATTTGATTTGCACAGTCCTCCTCCGCGGTTGAAAGGGTTGCCACATGTGTGCGTAGTTTGTCCCCTTCCATTAGATGCCACTGCAAACCGTTCTCTTAATAGGAAACCTGAATCACCTCCATCAAAAGCGGTAGCCGTGTTTCCCGTCTTTCACTAACGGATTTTGCGTTGTTTATGTGCCTGTGACTTTACGCATGGGCCTGTGCCACTGTATAACTACTTCAAAGTCAGCCTCCCGTATCGGCTAGTCTATTATGACGTAAACAATGTTACATACCTTTGTAGGGACATTATGAAGCGCGATTCCTACTGGGACCGTAACTCATGAAACAGGTAAGCGGCGACGCATTGGTCCCCTGTCACTCCATGGGCCTTCGCGTCTTTTGTGTGGGTGTGTGGGCGACCCTGTTCAACTGCCCGACTATTGAAACAGTGCGGGCTATCATGAGTTTACGAAACCTAGTCAAACTTTATTGGCCTACCACAGTAGTTTGTTATCAAAGACAGAGGAATAGCAGGACTAGATAATGTGCAGGCCACATTCTGGCCGCTCGAATGCAACAGTAATGTGCAGACAGCGGGCCAATATGATTCATCACTATGTTTGGTCGTTTCGTACAGCATAAGACTATTTAAGTGATGCTGGATTTAGCGGTCATGATAACCCACACTGTTACAATAGTTGTGAAGCTGAATAGGGTCGCCCACACATCCAAACAAATACTCTAAGACGCATAGAGTGATAGGGGATTACTGGGTCGCCGCCGCCTATCTGCTTCATCAGTTAGGGTTCCAGTGATCGAACTGGCCAGGATTAAGTTCAGTGGGAATCACGGTTCATGAACTTATCTTCCCGGCAAATTCATACAGGGCCCAAGGCTTGGGTATTAGATGAATTCGCCGACTGGACAAATGTCCTGGCGTAATATTGAAATAGTATTCATATAAAAAGCAAAGGACGATCGGAATCGCTCGCGAATATGTGAGTGTACGGGGCTAGTGTGATATGCTTCGTGACATTGTACCCGGCATATAGGCGTCGTAAACATGAACGGATCGTCCCATGGTAGGCAAACAAAGTCAAATATCGTAGAGGGTAGAAGTCACGATTAAACTTCACACAAAAATCTGCCTCGACGGGGAATCGAACCCCGGTCCACGAATTTCCGGTCCGTTGCTCTACCACTGAGCTACCTTCAAATAATCTACCATCGCTCTTTGGACTTCGGATGGACAGTTACTTCGGTCCACTGGGAAGTGACGAGTGAGTGAGCCGATCTGCAACACCGGGACAGTTACTGTGAGCTCATTGGCAATACGTCGCGCAACATGCAGAAGTCACGTGTTAAATTCCGCACCTAATCATCAGCCCTCGGTAGCTCAGTGGTAGAGCAACGGACCGGAAATTCGTGGACCGGGGTTCCATTCCCCGTCGAGGCAGATTTTCGTGTGGAGTTTAATCGTGACTTCTACCCTCTACGAAACTTACGTTACTCACAAACATCCTTCAAAAAAGTCAAATATATCCCGTTTGGCGATCCCCAGGGCCGAAACGTGTTTGGGGGAGGCTGGTAATATATGACCCCGGTTGTTGATGATTATCGGATGATGCATGATGTCTAATGCCGTCGGATATTCCAAGCTCACAAAGCCGGCTATGGCTTCTGCAGGAGCACGTACACCGTAGTTGTCAGTTTCGTTTGGTAACTACGGGATGTTCTGCAGGTGTCGCATATTGCCACGTCCATTACGTGTGCTGTGGATTTCTTGATGACGATTATATCCGGCTTGATGTGCTTTGATACTGCTGCGTTGCGTGGCTCCGAGATGATTCGTGCTCCCTTACGAGGTAGGGTGTTGCTTAGTGGCTTGAGGATATCACTGTGCCTCTTACAGTGAGCGTTGTGGGTTATTACACAGGACTACAAATGTGAGAAAGTGTTTCGTTTTATTTCCGCAAGTGATCCAGCAGTGAAGATCGGTTGGGTTTTGGGGGTAGTCGTACTCTGGAGCGTTGAGATTTTGTCGACGGTACCCCTGCTCGAAGTTGGATTCTTCTGTTGTAGAGCCTGGTCAAAATTCGCACTGGGTTTCTTATCCACTTAAGATTGCGCATCGCATTCCACTCACAAAATCATTGCTTCACAATAAGCCTACAAATCTAGGTAAGATTTGTTTTAGTAATAATGGACTACGCGATTTGGGATGCTGGCCGTTTAGTACAAACCCAGCCACCCAGGTTCTTGCGTAAAGCCACAGGAAAATAAACTACGCGAAGGCCGATATCGGGAAAGAGGAAACTTTGTCACCACCCTTGATCAAGCCTGTCGAGGTTTGTAGTGGCACTTGTGAGTTACGAAACTCGGTCAGTTAATTTTCGATGTGTTGACAAGATCACTTTGTGTTGGATTTCTTTATTCCTTGGAAGTATTCCGTGAAAGTTTAGATACAAGACAGTTTCATTTCTGATTCTGAATTTTTCGACCAGAAGTACCTGTGTTTTCATTGCTTGGTTTCTGCGATCTTGCTATCAGCATTTTTTCCAGCAGTTGGGCGCTGTCTTGTTTTCGGATTATTCAAAATGCCGAAGCAATTCCAATATAGTCGGATGCCGTGCAAATGCCTTCACCTGTGTTTTTTGCCTAGTTACATACCACGTTTCATGTGTTAGATTATCAGTTGAGCAATTTCATCGTCTTCGGGAAATCCAAAACGAGTTCCTTCAAACTTTATGTGAAAATTGCGGAAACAAGAGACAACCAGGAACAGTAAAGCCGACGTGTAGGCTTCATCATTTCGTTGCAAACAACTCCGTTGTTTGGCCGAACAATCTAGCCCGAAGAGCCTTCAGGTTTCAGCTCAGTCTTCCCCCACTACCCGTGTAAACCAACCGGCACAAAGTCCAACCGTTGTGAGAAACCCAGTTTCACCTGGCATAAATTGTTTACTTTTGTGGTGTCCAACGAACACCGATCTCCCAGTACGTAAACATCGGAGTGCGGAAGTCCAGTGGAAAGAACAAAGAACGAAATTACGAAGGGATATTATGCGTTTAACTTCGGTAAGTCAGCAGCTAGTCAACCCACATGAGGCTGGCAATATACTTCGCATTGCAAGGTTAACCTCGTCCGACCAAAGGCGTTATAACCTCGTGATCTTCCACCCGCCGGAGTCCAGTGATCCATCCCCCCCCCATTGCGTTACATCCACGATGTCGAGTTTTTACAGAGTCTAGTTTACAAACGCCTCTACGCTGGCAAGGACTCGGTAAAAGTGAGGCAAATTACTTGAACTTGGAATCGGGCTATAAGAATCAGTTTTGGGACAAAGCCAGTCCAAGACTGAGCATGTCCCGCTTAAGCAAGCTGAAAGGGTTGAAGATCCAAGTTCTTCCATACCTGGACCCAGTAGACAGGGATCGGCTCAAGTATTCCATCATCGAGCTGAAATGAATCCTTCCTATAACAAATGTTTGATGCTCTGACTGCCGCAGATGATAATCAACGACGCCTCATCTGCTGTATCGAGCAGGGTGGATAGGGTTTGAATGCTACTGCTCAGGCCTTCCCATCTTCTTATCCTCCTACTTGAGCTTTTTCATTTTTATCGTCCCGCTCCAAATGTAATTTTATCCCCCATTTTCAATCCCCCATTGCTTGGCCCTCTCCCACCTTGCTTCAATAGTCGCTTGTATTCTAGTTTCAACTCACCCACAGTCGCAGGGAGTCGCTCCAATCCAGTCGACAAGTCCATGTTCAACCAAGCGGACAACGTCAGTTCATCTGTTTCCATTTGGAGCTGTCGAGTCTCGCTAAGACTGACAGGCCTCAACATGCGCACTTTGCTACAGATTGACCAACAGGCAGCACTTGCCCGCACACTAGAGACCTTATCGATCGATATTTGCTGTTTATCTGAAACCTGCCTGAAAGATCCTAGCTCCGTGCTTACCCTGCGATCCCCCACATGCGACAAAGTTGGCACATTCCCATTGCGCCTGTCTGGCGATGATGCAGCTACAAATGCCAGTGAAGCTGGCGTCGGCGTTGTTTTGAGTCCACGGGCTGAAGCTGCTCTGATCGATTGGATCCCAGTAAACAGTCAGCTGTACGCCGTTAGATTAGTTGCTTCGTTGCCTACTTCAAAGTCGCGCGGGAACAAATGATGCTTGTTTGTCATTGCGGCCTACGCCCTTGCAAACAGTAGCACAGCTTCGGTGAAAGATGATTTCTCGCAGGGAATTCACGATCTCCTTCGTTACAGAAGAAGCACGGATATTGTGGCGTTGACTGGAGATCTAAACGCCCAAGTAAGAAAATTACTCTCCGATGAGCTTCATTCGGGCGGCCGACATGGTGTAGGCTCCCGTGATGATAATGTTGAGCGAATGCTACAGCTGTGTGAAGATGTTCGTCTCTTTCTCGCGAGCACAAAGTTTCGACACATCACCCGCAGAAGTGTAACTTGACGGCCACCTACCTCGGGCCAGCCATGGACGCAAATCGATCATATCGCGATCAGTTACCGCTGGAGAGATTTGTAAAAAGTCGATCCTTCAGGGACAAAACGTATATTCTGCAAACAAAAGGACCAGGCGAAAACGCAGGCAGAGGGCGAGTGAAACATATCGGTATATACAGCTAGTTGGATCCATAATTAACGACCTTTGTGAATGCATGACATTTTTCCTTTGATTCAGTCAAACAAACTCACTCCAATGCGTCCAACTGTTGGCCAATCAGCTTGCATGCGAGAAACGTGTGAACGTCCTA